GACTAATGAAGGGAGCAGTCTGGTATTACAAAATGTGTTTTTTACATGTTAGAGGTGTGTATCAAATGCACACCTTCTCCAAACGAAATCCCCCAATCATTCCAATAAAAGAGCTCTAAAGTTCAGAGAGGAGCTGGTCAGTGCACTAGTTCAAGGCAAGTGCTTTCAAAAGGACACAGGATTCATGCAAGCTCCCGTTGCAATCCCTGACGTAAGGTTCAATCGGGATCATTTCCATTACCCTGTGATCAATGATACACGGTCAACTTGCAAAGTACATTTACAGAAAGTGAAGACAATATACAGCTGTGCTATTTGTGGTGTTAGATTGTGCCCTGTGCCTTGTTTTGAAAGGTATCACACACTGCAAAACTATGTTTATGGTGATGAAAGTCGTGATGGCCCCAGTGGCCAAAAGAAGGGAGAGGGAGGCCATATCAAAGAGGAAGAAGAAGATCTTTGAGAAATTTTTTAGTGTAAAAGAGCAATTATTATGTGTTGTAGAAGCACTTGACTTATGGTTGTATGACCCATAGAAGCACTCTTTCCATGTTTTCAATATTTTTATTTCCGTTTTTTCCTTTATTTTTTCTTTATGATGGGCAATCAAAAAACTGTTTTAAATTCTCACAATAGGGTTTTAATGCTCAAAATATAAGTTTAATTATATGTTGTAATATTATCATTTGATAGAAACTTTGAATAAAAAAAAACCTTCAAGATACAACAAGAAATATGAAAAATCGGTGTGAAACAATTACTGATCTCCACATTCTGCTTAGCTTGGTAGCTTCATGAGAGTGAAAAGTTAAAAGTGTAAAGAAAATTGCTCAGGTCACAGAGCGAAGGCAAGCAATCTGAGAGTTGTCAAAGCGGCCAGTACAAACAAGGGCAGGTAGCAAGAAAACAGAGCAGAAAGAGAGGGTGAAAAAGCAAAGAGAAAAGGCATGAGCAGAGCTGCAGGAAAAAAGAGAGAAAAAAAGGCAACAAACAAGGGAAAGAGTCCGTAAATACCACCAAAGAAAACTAGCAGCAAGTGTACAAGAACAAGCAACAGAAGCGGCAATGAATCTTTTTTATTCAATGATTGGTTACTTTCGATCCTAAATTCTCTGCATGCTTCTGTATGTTTTGATCGCTTGAAGTGTCGTTGGAGATTTTAAGTGGAGCATATGAATGTATACACTACAGGTTGCTTGATGGATTATCAGGTTTTTCCTTTTTCATTGGTCATGTTTTCAGTAGTTTTTTTTCCATAGAAGCGAACCAGTTCAAGTAGTTTCACACTCATTGCGCTTTCAAAGACAGAAGGCCTTTTGTAGGTTTAAGAGTTATCTCACATTCAAATAATTTGTTTTAGAGAGGTTTCTGCACTTCTTTTGACTATCAATATAATTTTTGTACATACTTATGGGCTGTTACTCGTTTAATATCATAAATGTTGTAGAATTGCAGTTCAAAATCTGAAGATGAGGCATCAGACTTTAACAGTTATTTTTTTTAATTTACCAGTCATTGTTAATAGAGGGAAACCCACCAAATATGTCATTGTAGAATAAACTTTGTAAACCAATTTCAACTTTGTGTGGTGATATATTCAGCCCTAATTGTTTGACACAACTTGGAAGCCTTGGGAAAGGGGTGTGGCCTTTTCAATATCAATCAAAATGTATCAATTTATCAGAGACACTGCCTCAAGGTATGAAGCACCCTAAAGAAAATCCTTACCCTATCTCAAATTAAACGATTTTCTCTTCCTTTTGACACTGAACAAAAATTCAACACCATGTCTTGAACCAACCATAGAATATCAAGTGACATGAAATTAATGTAGCATATTTCCATAGGTACGTTCTTGGCCACTTTAAAAACACCTACCAACCTTTTCAAAGGCAAGATTTATGAAATCAGTGGATCTCAGCATACACAAAAATCAAATAACAGAAAAGAAATGGGAGTAAAAAAAATGAATCCCACAGGCAAAGGGAATGGGAAGAGGAGGCAAGGAAACCTCACAAAGATTTCCACTTGTTGCAGCTAAAAGAAAACATAACACTTAAGACCTCTCGTTTTTTTAGCACTTTCATTCCCAGTTATTTTTACAATCAAAATGTAACTTTTCTTATGTTAAAAAGAATGCTTTTGATCTGTGTAGCAATTGTGCCAAATTTGACATTTTTGATTTATCAGCTTACATATTTGTTAACTATTCTATTAAAACTCTCCCAGTTTATTTCCGTTCCTTATTTTGCTTTACGCCGAGCAGATGAGTGTATACACTACAGGTTGCTGGATAGATTATCAGGTTTTTATTGTTTTCAGTGGTTGTGTTTTCAGTAATTTTTTTTCCGATTGAAGCTAACCGGTTCAAGTAGTTTCACACTTCTAGCAAAATATCGAAAAAATAATTATAACGAAATTCAAAATCAAATTGTCGCCCTTTCAAAGATAGAGGGCTTTTATGTAGGTTATTGGTGTAAGATTTATATCACATTCAAACAGTTTGTTTTAGAGAGGTTTCTGCACTTCTTTTGACTATCAATATAATTTTTGTACATACTTATGGGCTGTTATTTATTTGATATCATCAAATGTTGTAGAATTCCAGTATAAGGCATTAGACTTGACCAGGTAATATTTTAACTTACCAGGTATTGTTAATAGAGCCAAACCTCCCAAATTTGTCATTGTACAATAAACTCTGTAAACTGATTTCAACTTCTTTTGATTTATCAGCTTAAATATTTGTTGACTGTTTAATTAAAACTCTTCCAGCTTATTTCTGTTCCTTATTGTGCTTCAATTGCCCCCTTACTCCATTGAGGATATG